GCAGGGCGGAGGAGGGGGTGCAGGGGTGCGGGGGTGGTGGTGCGGGGACGCCTGCCTACTGTCTTGTCTTCTCCCTGTCGCCGCCACGCCCCACACCCCCTGCCCAGATCTCTCCTAGCCTGGGGTCCTGCTTGGTCCCCCTCTCTGGCCCCGTGCGGGGATGCCTGGGGACGGGTCATGGTCCCTGGCATGAGGATTCAGGGTCTAGGAGTTTGGGGGTCAGTCGTGTGTGTGTGTGTGTGTGTGTGTGTGTGTGTGTGTGTGTGTGTGTGTGTGTGAGACCTGGGAGGACATGAGACCCCGAGACCCCCCTGGGCACAGGGAGAGGAGGTTGGGACCTAAGGAAGCCCTTTCTTTCCTGGGGAGATGGCCCTTCACACACCCAGCTGCCTCTCTCCCCTCTGCTGTCTCAAGCAGGTGATATTTGGGCACACTGGCGTGGAAATGGAAAAAGTAGATTCTTCTCAGCATCACCCCATGATAGGAGTGCCCTGAATCCACAGCGCCGAAAGCAGAAGCTATGGGCTTGGAACTCTAGAGCCACCAGAGCACCTGGAGCTGGGAGGGGTTCACAGGAAACTAAGGGTGCCTGAGGGAAGAGTTGAGGGAGCATTGCCCCCTCCCCCCATCTTCTGTCCGCTACCTGTTCACTCACTCACTCACTCACTCACTCACTCAGTGCCATTGAGTCAATCCTGACTCATGGTGACCCTATTGGACAGCGTAGAACTGTCCCTGTAAGTTTCTAAGACGGTAACTCTTTACAGGAGCAGAAAGCCTTGTTTTATTCCCAGTGGCTCCTTGTTTCAAAGTGCTGACCTTGGTTTGTAACCTACTCTGCCACCCCATGCTAAACCAAGGTGGGAAGTGTTTAAGAGATGAGGTTTAAAAATGCAGTGCTTGTGGTTGATCAGATTCGTTAACCTCATTACCCAGGGGCAAGACTCCATCCACCTTTGATTTGGTATAGGATTAAGTCAGGCTGCTTGCTAACTGCTAGACCAAAAGTTCGAAACCACCAACCACTCTGTAGACAAGTAGAGCCTCAGAAACTCACAGCGACAGCTCTACCTTGTCCTGTCGGATCGCAATGACAGTGAGTGTGATTCTGCTTTTCATTTCATAACTATTGCACCAGCCAGTAGAGGTTCAAATACCCCTAGGGGTGCCCTGGAAGAGGCAGAGCATCTCCTTGGGAAAACCAACCGTTGAAACCCCACGGAGCCCAGTTCTTCTTGGACACTGGCACACGCGGGGTCAAGAGTGGACAAATTCCCGTTTACAAACACAGGAGAAACAAATCGGTGCCCTTGACAGTTTGGGGGGACAAGGAACAGAAGCTGGTTTCTTGGAAAACTGCTGAGGTAGTTTATTGTGCCAACCTGGCCGATAAACACATGTGGGATTAATTGAAGGGCGGAGGGATAAATGGCTCAGTGAGCCTCGCCTTTCTTTGCGTGTGTTTTGTGAGATGGAGGACTTTGTGGACTGGTGTCGGACATGGGTTAATGGGTTGATGTTGGACTTGTGGGCTTGGGCAGCACTGGGTTGGGATGTGTTCTTGATGTGCACTTACGCTTTATATAAAAGTCTCTCTTACACATGAGTTTCTGTGGATTTGTTTCTCTTAAGTACCCAAACTAACACAACTGCTTAGAATAAAGGCTATTTTGTTATAGCGCCTCCATGGCGGAGCAGTTTGAGCTGCTTCTAGTACTGCTGGTGAGGGTGGCCCCACTTTTGCCCCCCCACTCTAGTGGCACCTGGGGCTGTCCACTGCTGCCTTGCTTGTAGGAGGAAGATGGTTGGATGAGTAAGTAGGTCAGTAGCCCAGTGATCCCGGAATGTCCTGGCATGTGTATGACTTAAATATTAAACAGGAAGGCAAGAAGGAAAACATTTTCGAGGAGAAAGCAGGTAGGTGGCAGGGGCCTGGTGAAGATGCAGCAAGGCTTGCCCATTCCTGGAGCCGTCCTCACGTGGCCCAGCAGGAGCCTCAGAGAGACGGGATGGCTAAGGTCTCTGGTCAGGATGCCGGGTCCCAGCCTATGGTGGCCTTGGGCAGGTT